TTTGTGCTTCCCTGTGAAAAGGAGGGATTTTTATGCATTGGTAATCCACGTTTTGTCCATATAAGTTTTACAGTCTAAGTGGTGTTTCACCTCTTCCCTTGATGTTTATTCTGCAAGCAGCAAATACATATAATCAGACTGTTGATTTTGTTTGTTTGTTTGTTTTCCTGTTCATCATGGGATTTTCTGCATGCAAGTGTATTTGATTGTTGTTGATAGACTTCAGTGCTCAGGATTACATAATTCTTCTGGAGCTTGGCACTCCTGGGGAGGCTGCAGACGTTGGCCTGTCACTCTTCCATCTTCCCTCAGCCATGTGAGGGACACTTAACTCCTTTTCTTTGTTTTCTGGTGGGTTACTTTTCTGTGTCAGTTCTCCAAACTCCTTCTGACTTACCTGTAATTGCAGATCTGCATAGATATTCTAGAGGCATAGACTGTTTTTGTTGGACCTTCCTTTCACTGGATAAAAGACCTGATTTTCTGCTGCGAAACTGCTTTTTGCCTTTTTTCCTCTGCTGTTTCCCATTGTATTGTGCTTACTGTGGGCTTTTACGTAGTGTCCATTGCTATGGTGTGTATATATTTGTATAGATATTTTTATATGTATATATACACACACAACAACATGACTAGCAAGGCTATTGTGTCTTCTTCAGAGGGCTAGTTTTATTTTTATTTTTATAGTCCATACTTTTGTTTGTGAAAGCCAGCTTGAAGAACTTTGTCTACTACACTCATATTTAACTTGCCATCTATTGTAACATCTGTTTTCTTCAACATTGCTGTTTCCCAGATTTTTCCCTCCCACTGCATGGGGTTTTTTGGATCATTTCCCTTCACTTGTTTTAGCCTGCTTTTTTTCCCAGAGTGAATCTCATTTGATTATTTTGAGACTGCATTTCTCTTCTTTCTGAGTCCCTGTGCATGATTTCCTTGTCCCAATTTTTGCATCTTCTCCAAATGTGATATTTCATGGAGATTCAAATTAGCGTGCTGACTAGAGTCTCTTCTGGATCATTAAAGAAAGTACCAAGTGAAACAGAACCCGAGACAGCTCTTAGCAATATTGCACCTTCTTCCAGTGTTATCCTTTGCTTTTATCACGATTTATTTGCAGCCGGTTTTCAAATCAAGACACAGCATTCATCTCGAAGTGCAGATCACTATCAAATGTTTACTAAATTTCAAACACATCACGTCTGCTCCTTTTCCTTAGATTCCTAGTGCTGTAACACTAGCCAGAATAGGGGCCAATTTCTAACCGGTTCTACTCTTCTGAATAGAAATCACAGTTTCATTGTCTTCAGGCTTGTAGCCTGGTTTACTTTATAGGAAACCTCATGAAATAAAGCAGCTGTGCAGTCCATTCTGAAATTCAGTTTTGTGGAGAAACAAGGGAAGTTTATGCATGTAAGGGGGAGAAAGAAGAGGGATATGTGCGAGGAAGAGGAGAGTCACTTTCATCTGCCTGTGTTAGATAAAGTCACTAAGTGATGGAAGTTGCGTATATTTCTGAAGAGCTTCTCAAATCCCTGAATGCTCCTGTGTTTCTAGACCACAGCTTTCATATAGTTATGTGCTTTGCACTGTCCTGCTTTGCAGTGCTGCTGATACTTGAAGCTGTGGCCAAGACATGAGATAACATCAGCAGCCACGATCTCCTGGCTGGGCACTTTGGGATCTTCCCGCTTTAGCTGTTATCCAGGTATCTGTGACACAGAAAGGCCATAACACTTCAGGCTTGTGGTAAAAGGACCTTTCTGTCTCATAAGGACAACAGATAATAAACAGCTGTTCTGGGTAAGAAACAAAGGAATTGAGGCAAATACGAGGAAATGACCGGGACCGTAGGATAAAAAGTGAGAGCATGCTTAGCCAGGAACTCTTTCAATGGGGAATGTGAGCTATAGCCTGTGGAGATCAAGCAGAAGGTATCTCATTCATGGCTTTTTGCTTTGACCTGACCATAATAAAATGTCAACAGTTTCTGGTGATACTAATGCCTGCGCTGCACTGGTTAGAACAGTATTTTTTACCAGTGATTTAAAAGGATCATTAATAGCCCTTTTCAAGTGGGGCAACTGGCTGGAAGCAGGCAGAAATCTATTTTTCTAAAAAGGCTTTACCTATATTATTGGGTTACATACCATCTTCTCTTCTCTTGCCTGCATCCTCTCTTCCACCTGGCTTTTGCTACCTGCTCACTGCCCACCCTGGACCACCTGCCATGATGGGAAGGATGGCATGTGGCAGTCTGGTTTTTGGTATCTGTAGCATCAGGTCCCTGGTGGATAGCAGGATGAGGTTAGGGGAAAAGCATAGGCTCTGCTTTGCACTGATGAAGAAGTCTGAGTTGGCCTGCAGGTGAAAATTTTTTCTGTTTTGGTTTTGAGGTTTCTTGCAAGAAATGCAGCTTGAGCAATTAGCACAAATATTTCTATTGAGGCTCCTGATCTAAGCTTTTAAAATTATTCCTAGTATGTTTAGCCTCGCTGCTCTTGTGAGACATCAGAGGAATTGAATCTAGCAAGACATTTTGAAGAGATGTTAGAAGCTACGTTTTTTAATAACCTCACAAATTTTCATATAATATACTGACAGCTGCCTTCAGCATTGTGGCAACTGCAGGCCTAGATGCACCTCAGAAATACGTTTATTGTTTTCCTGCATTATGTTACATTTTCCACCTGGAAAATCCCTTTTTCTTTGTTGGCTACCCTAAACAAATAGGGCCAAAAGGATAGTAGCCACCTCAGAGTTCGCAATCCCAGCTTTAATTGGGCACATAGGACTGTGGTCTGTCTCTGTGCTGTCTTCTCCCTCCTCACAGTCCAGACTTAAAGACCAAGCTCAGACCGAACACATGCCACCTCTTGCCATCTGTTTGACCTCTTTGCTCTCTTTGTGGAAACAGCACAGTCAAATAGATTTTGACCGAGTCAGAAAGTATCAAGGAGTGTCTGAGGTATGCAGAGCAACCTGGGAGTTGCAGGTGTTTGCCGATGCCTCCCTTCATCATGGCTGCACAGGTGGACCAAGGAGTAGGTGGAGCCTCCCAGCTCTGCAGTCCCTGGAACAGGGATAGCAGCGGCCTCCCCACTTCCCTCCTCTGCCTGCTCTGCTCAGTGTAGCCAACAGGTCGGTTCACTCTCTGCTGAGTACTGCTACAACCAAAGGATTTGGTTTTGCTTTGCTTTATTATTTACTACAGTGATAAAAGGAGGCACTCCTTGTGATCATAAAGAGAAGCCTTAAAATCTTATTTAAGAGCACAAATATTTTGGGTTTTGACAGATATGGTTTGAAAACAACACAGATGTGCAGTGTCAGATTTCACCACTGCATGGTAAATTTGGTTAATAGTGCTGGGCATGTGCTTTCCCAAAACCCTGTCGCCTGCAACCCAGGAAAAAAAACTTTCTGGGTTGTCGGGGTTTTTTCCCCCTGAATATACCCCCTTAGAGAGTTTGAAAGGAAAATGATCTTTGCAGAGTGAGCATTCAGCCCTGAAAGGCTGAATGGGTAAAATAACCTATGGGTTATTTTTAACCTAATTACCTCAAATTAAACAAAAGCTTAAAGATTTTTTTGCTTGAGTTGAAGATGAGGGCTAAGTAGGCTTTATTTGCAGAGTAACTCTAGCCAACAACATGCTACTTCCATTGCACTGTGCAGAATAATGCCTGTGGCAGTGCTCTGCGCTAACGAATGGCGCTTGATTTTCTGAAAGCTTGGCTTTTATGAGTTGATGTGAGAGTATATGCAGCTCTAGAGCAGTTCACTCCTTTCCCCTTCTCACCCCTCCTACGGATGCAGTGATCACTTTGGACTGGTGACGTTTTAGATGGAGCATGGTCTCCTTACACTTGCCTGGTAGTGGCTTATTAACTGCATGTTAATTGAAACTGAAAGTTTGTCAGATGATTCAATTCAGTTACATGTTAAATGGATTCAGTGCAGTAAGCATTACTGCTGTGATGAAAATCTCTGTGGAATTGATTTGTGAACTGATTTGGAGGGATTCATTGGCTTCATCAGCGGCTCTGAGAGATCAGCATGAGGAAAGCAAGCAGACATAGTCATGCTCCCAGCAAAACCAAATCCTGCTCTTCTCTTTCACCCTAAACAGTTTTAATTACTGTCCAGTATGTTCCCCTTCCAGGACATGTGCTAGATAAATTTACTCTGGAGAGCTGAGAAGTGAAGAAGAAAATGAAAAGAATTGAAAGTCTGTTTTGAATTCTGTAATCTAAATGGCTGAAATGTTGAATTCCTTATCTTTTAGTGGATCAAACAGTCACAAGATTGTTTCAAACATAAGCATATGTTACCAAAAAAAAACCCCCAAAAAACCAAAAAACCACAAGCAAACAAAAAACCAAGAGAAAAAAAAATATCTGCTTTAAACTGAAGGACTGAAAATTCAAAATTTACATCCTTCATAAATCATCTTTTACACTTGGCCACTGCAGAAGTCCCTCTTAAGTTAGGAATTTATTCTGTATGCTGTACCTGCTTATGTGCTTGGTTTCTGTGTGGAGCCAATTTTTATTGCTGAGTTATAAACCCTTTGAAAATAGGGGCTTGTAATGGAAGCACTGACAGACCTTTAACTAGGTCAGTTTTATCTGGCTCCATTATCTTTGCTTTTGTTAAAGCATTAAATGGTTGCAGATTTGTTTATTTTTCTCGCAGGCCCAGAATTTTAACATGGGTATGTTATTGAATTGTTTTTTCTTCAAAATGTCATGAACAGGCAGCATTAGAGAGTTTATCCAGACTCCGCAGTCATCTTTAAAAGTAAATTGAACTGTTGTGTCTTATTTCAAGATTTTCTTGCTTATAAAGTACATTTAGTCTGTAACATGTCATTACGAAACTAATACCAAAATTTCCTTTTTCTCCTGCTGTCTTATTCTAGTCTTGAATTCTGCTCTGTCTTTTGAGTTCCTTTCTATGTAAAATGACAGTGATGTTTTTTTCTTTGTCCCATTCAGATGAAAAGCCATACCACTGCAACTTTCCTGAAGAAGAAACTCCAATGATAACATCTCAGTTGGATGAACTCCCAAAGCTGGGAAGCCGCAATGCCAGAGAAAATGAGGCCAGGGAATCTAAACCAGAGATTCCTGTCCTGATGTCAGCACTGGAGAGTGTCATCAAGGAACCCTTTTCAAAATACCAAGGTTCTGCAGACATGAAGATGCCAGGATTTCATCACAGCCAAGGGCTTCTTTGCTCCAGTCACATTGCTAGCTTTGCTTCGGGTGTGGGCCAGACATCTTCAGACATGGCCATGGACTTGAAAACATCACTTGAAGTGCAGGCTAGTCGTGCTAGAGAAACTTTGCTAGACTTGCACAGGGAACATCCTCTGATAGAAAAAGGTGCTGAAGCTCTTGAGTTAGCTCCACTCGATTTGAGTGAAAAATCAACAAGGGATAATTCATGCAGTAAATATCTGAATACATCCTTCCAGGCTGCTTTAATTGTCTACCCATGTCCTTTCTGCAGTCACAAGACCTACTACCCCGAAGTCCTGTGGATGCACAAAAGAATTTTGCACAAAATCAGCTGTAACTCGATGGTACCCCCTTGGGTTCAACAGAACGGATTCAAGAGTATTAAAAACAACCTGGTCTTTCTGGCAAGGAGTGGGCGCACTGGCCCCCCTCCTGTTCTCGGTGGTAAGGAATGCCAGCCTTTGCCCATTGCCAGATTTACACGTACTCAAGTGCCAAGTGCATTGCCAGGTTCCAAAACCAGCTCTCTTTCTGTCGGGATGACTGCGAAGTCTGGTGGTACACATCAGTCAAAGGACAGTCATGCCTTCAGCCACTGTGGTCCACGCTTATCGGGTCTGGATGGGTACAGACAGCCCAAGCTAAACCATTCCCAGGAGCAGTACAGCATAGCAGCACAACAGAAAAGTAAATATGAAGCAAATTCCAAACTTATGCAAATGGGAACCTATAGTAGAAGCGTAACGCCTACACAGACAGTCATATCCAGGCCTAGCACACAGCCCACAAACAGTAAGCAAGTGGAAAAGTACGTGGTGCCCCAAGGAAGTACCGGTTTTACCCCTCCGGGTAAGCACTGTGCGTCCGACTCCATGAAGGCCAAATACAACCCACCCCTGCAGTACCATCCTGTGTGTAAAAGCGAGCAGTACACTAAACACGAAGAGCCACCGGTGCCTCAGAGGGAGTCTCACATGAAGGCTGGGAATGAGATGAGGACATTGGCAAACTGCACAGCGGTAGCACGAGCAAGTCCGGTACTGCAGCCCCAGCCGAGTACCGTGGGAGTTTCTCCAGCTTTACACTCCAGCAAACAGGATGTGGGATCAGATGTGCATGAGAAACATTTGGACATTTTAAATATCTTTAAAACATACATTCCAAAGGACCTTGCTTCATTGTACCAAACCTGTGGTGCCAACAGCCCTGTCCTGGATCACACAGGTAAGATTTTTACAAGCCCTTCCATAGCTGAGGACATAGGCTTGCTTGTTCCTGCTTCATTCAGAGCCACGACATACTGTTTCCCAGTTTTTCCCTTCTCTGCTTTTAATGGTTTTTTGTTTTTATGGTTCATTGTTTTTATCATTGCTGGATAGGCTTGAATAGGTTTGTTTACTGCTCTCTTAACACTGCAGCATCCCCCCTTGTGCACTGTGTGACATTTCTGTCACAGGTTAAGTGTATCTGGTTCCACCTGGAGTACTGCTGTTCCTTTGTCCTCTTGCTTCAAGCAGGCTAGAGTTACACAGATGTGCTGTCACAGGAAGATCTCCCTGATATGCTGGTGCTGGCACACATCATCATCTTTTTGCTTCAGGCAAAATAAACATCCTCTGGGGCTTATCTGTGATGTTATTTTGGAGGTTTTGTTCAATTTTATCTGCAAACAAGTCTCCCAACAACAGAGAGGGATAATCACTTGTCATTGTCCTTTGTCTTCCTTGACAAAAGTCTTAAGATCTTCCTTGTCCATGTCAAAGATTGCAACTGTATTTTTTAAATGAGTCTTTTGATCTGTTTGTATGTTTGTAATTAAAAAGAGGTAGGGCTGAATACATGCCTGCTAATTCACATAAGCAGAAAAGTCAGTTGTGCAAATAGCCAGTTTAAAAGTTCAGGGACTAAAAAATTTCAACTGCCATGTTAAAGGAAAAAAAAAAAGAAATCTATGTATTTGCATTTGAAACCATACTCTTGTGATGATCTGCCAGAATTAGTTTGTCTCAGTGGAAACTGAAAATAACACTGATAGGCTACACATGAGGTGAGGGTGTGTCTGAAGGGGAGGAGAATGGGAGCCATAGTCTTACCTCTCATGATTTATAAACCATCTGAGTTTGTTATACCCTTCTTCTCTTTGTAGAAGTTGTGCAAATAAACTCCACGCAGAAACAGCACATGCTCCAGACCAGTGTTCTGGTGTCCTCACCGGACGTAATGCCCTCTGTTTTGTCAAAAGGGTGTGTGAAATGGAGCTTGTGACCCCATTTTGCAAGTGGCACAAAATCCAGGACATTTGGAAGCTGGTAGCCTAAGGACAGCTATGGTCTTGTGCCCAGAAGGTGTGTGAAAGTTGACTAGTGTGGCAGCCGTAAGGCAAGGAAGGAGCCATAGTGTTTGACTGGGTCTTGGTGGAGGGACCTTTTGAAGAAGACAGAAAGGCAAGATCTGTCTGACATAGTCCATGAGGTGCACCTTTAAGCCATTCCATTGTCAGCTTTGCTCAATCATTTGACAAGTAATGCTGTGTAGGGAGCAGCTGTTACTTAATGAGCAGATCATTTTGCAGGTGGTTAGGGGCTACCTGATGATTGTAACTTACCCCAGGCTTCTGTGTTTTTTTTTAACGAAGCAGAGGAGGATATGTTTAGTTTCTAAAACTGTGGGTTTTCCTTTTTTCCCCGTGTCTAGGAATGTTGTCTAAAGTTTCTCCCTGCTCACTTCCTGCTCTAAATACCAGTGAATTCACCACCAACTTGGGGTACCTTCACATGGGTGCCCACCTTGATGTTATTTAATATTACGTTGTGTCAACCTGCTCAGAGAAATCTTCCTGACCCAGTGAGCTCCCAGCCGTGTTAGGAGAGAGAGAAAAACAGTAAAAGCTAGGAACTAGAAGCTGACTTAGAGAATGCAGGCATCAGAAAATTCATGATGACTGTTGGAACAAAGTAAAATAGGGGCAGGGTTTCCAAAGAGGTCTCTATTTACCTGCTTTTTGAAAGAGGGATTTTATTGGCAAAACGTTTTTGCTGTGCAGTGATTTCCAGAGACACTTTAACTGGAAGTTATTTAGTGCCCATCTCTGCTTTGAAACCTCTTCTTTCATTCCAAGTGTTTTACAGCAATCAGGTTTTCGGAATTTGAAGCCTCTTTTTTTTTAATGTAGCTTGTCTTCATTTTATATACAACTTTCAGGTTGTTGATGTTTCTCCAAACCAATTGGCATGATGGCTGTTTTTCATAGCACTCAAATAAAAAGCTGCTTCAGGCAAAAGGAACGAGATCCTACCAAAAAAACAGAGGAGAGTAATTGAACTTTGTCTGAAATAACATATGCCCTAGATAGGCTGAGCCCTGTGAGTCAGTATGCATCATAAAATTTAGCCTTAATCTCATAATATGAATATGGCAATCATGACATGAAGGACAACCAAAAATCCCACTTAGGTATGCTATTTGTCATGTTTTTCTCTCAGTGGAGTATTTCCAATAGACATTACTTTTTTTTTTTTTTTTTTAAATATGATGTCATCTTGGATCACACTAGAATGTTTTAGTGTGTGGCAGTGCAGTGTTCTTATTTCTAGGATTCTTTGTTTCTCTTCCATTTATTCCAGTGTCCTTGGAAGAGAGTTGTTGTATGTACTGTTGTGATACAGCTGCAAACACAAAGCTTGCTGTACTTAGGTTAGTTTGTTTCACACTGCCCAATCTTCCCAAATGCTTGTAGAGACAATCTTATTGTTATCTTTAGTAGTGGTTATTTATTTTGTTCATGACATTTACATGAATCACTGTATTAGGAAAGGATGGTTTATGGCAGCAGATGCACTCTTTCTCTGAGTCTCCTTTGAGACCAGCTTTGAGCATCGATTTCTCAGGAACTCCCATTCAGATAGTCACGTTTGTTTACCTGTAATTTGCTAAGACCTGTAGTCATCCACCCTCTTTTTTCCACATATAGGATAACCTGAGTGATGATTCATGGGGGTATTGCCTTGTGGCAGTGATGCCCATGGCTCAAAGCTCTGAACTATCTAAAGCCTTGTGGTGCTACTTAGGAAATACAACAATGGCAAATATATCTGGAAGTGTTGCATTTTTCCCACCTACTTTTTGAATAACTACCATAAAGTGAGAGCTGGGGAGGGGTTAGATAAAAGCGTTAACCCACTCACCTTCAGCATTCATACAGGGTATGTTGGCTTACTCCTCAGCCTTCCCTCATGCGTGACTCAGAAGGGAGCAGTGCTGCCATGAAGGCTGTTGGATTGGGTCTGTAATGGCTGCTGAGACAAGTGAATTCATCTTCCACAAAGTGAGACATGGGTAGAGGGATTAATTCTCTCTCCCGAGGTGTCAGAACGATGACCTGAGGAACCCACCTCTTCTGGGTTTCACAGGAGCTGCTGTGCGAGTCCCTGCCTGTCCAGTAGTCGGCATGGGGCTGTCCAGCAAAGGTCACAGCTGGTTCCTCAGCACACTTCCTTCGGCTTTTTGCTTTCAAGTTTTCAGCTGTAGTTCTGGCCAGTGAGGAAAATGCCAGTAACAGATCAGAAAACCTGCTTTAATCTTGGCTGCTTTACAAGGCAAATCTATCTCCTTATAGTACAGTAAGGCTCTTATTGACATGTGATTCTTTTTTTTTAATTTTTTTTCTTTTCCTTCTCTTTTTGAGGTTTTTGTTTGTTTCTGTGTGTGGGTATAACTGATCTGGATTTTCTCCAAAACACAGTCTTGTATTTGATTCCCAGAAACTTAATATTTGGGAGAAAGAGTGTTCAAGTATATTATACAGACTGTGCTGCCATCTGCAGGAGGTGCTATTATAAAAGGAGAGAACAATTTGTGAGTGGGGCATTTGCTGGCATTTGTTTGGTGTTTTGTTGTTGTTGTTTTTTTCTTTTTTTCCAGCCAGACATTTCTTTCCAATATATGGTGTGGTGAAAACTATCACAGGACACTTGATGTCATAACAGCAGAGTAAATGGCAGCTGTCTTCTTTACCATTCATCTTTAGGTGCAGCATCCATATTTTGGATGAATCCTCTGGCATCCTGCAGTTGAGTTTTCAGTTGTGTGGAGGGTTTTTGTTCCAGCTTTTTGTTCATAATTTTATTCTTCTTAAGTGCTGTAATAGGGAGGGGAATATGAAAGAAAAGCTGAAACTTCAGTTCTGTTGACAACCCTCTCAGAATTTCTTTAAAAGCCAAAGTATTCCAGTGGCAACTGGAAACATCAACTCTTTCCTTCCGAAGAGGGCGTTTTACCAAAATAGAAAAGATGATGTTCAAACATAATTTTTTTTTTAATAGTAAAAAAGCCCAATAAAAGTCAAATGTGTCTTTTTTGATCAGCAGCAAAAAGACAAAGACCAGCCCTTTAAGTCAGATGCTGTAAACTGACCTTTGGAGAAAAAGGAGAGGTTTGAGCGGTTTTCCACAAATGCTAATGGCCTAGAAAACATGTTTACCCAGGGCTGGGGGAAGGCTGCTGTGCTGCTACCAGCTCAAAATGTCCGGAATGACACTTTCATTCACAGATGTCTTTCTTCTATGCCTCAGAGGTCCAGGGTCAAAGCAGCACCGGCAGGCAGGTAGGCAGGGGCGAAAGGTTTGATCAGTCTGCGATGGCTCCGCTCACTCTGCATTTGTCTCTGAGGTATTGCCGCCTGGGGGGGACAGTCGGGCTCTGGTCCTACTCACTTCCTATTATCCATGTGACTTGTCTCCGCCACGCTGGAGTCACTTTGATTTGCCTGATGTACTGCTTGACAAAGCTGGGTGATGGCTGAGAAGTGGATCCAGCTGCTCTGAAAAGCGCACACCTGACATGCCAGTCCTGGTGCGGGCACATCATGGGGAGCATTTTTTAATTCAATGTAATTTATGCATTCTTGCAGTCCTGTGTGTGCCTGGCCTGTCAGCCAGTGCCTAGATGAAGGCTGACAGTTGTCATCCAGGGCCTGAAGGTAGCCTCACATAATGACACATTAGACATACTAATGATGTTTTCTTCTGGCATAATGTTTTCTTCTCAACTTTCCTTTCTCCTCTTCCCCCCCCTGCCCCCCCTCCCCCCCCCGCCTTCCTCTCTCCCCCTGTCTCCTGACTACAGGGATGCTCAGGACACAAACACGCCAAGGAGACTGTGTCTGCAGAGAATGTGGAAAATGCTTTACCCAACCCAGTCACCTCAGGACTCATCAGAGGTCCCACACAGGTACCTTTTCACACTTGCTCTTTCTTTCTCCCTTTCCCACTTGCCTGCTTTCAGATTCTGCTAACAAAATACCAAGAATTGCATTTCACATCCCACGTTAACCTAAGTAATTCCAGTACCTGAATCTTATAGACAGGTTTTTTATTTTTATGACTGTTGCTCTTGTTCTCCAGATATTGCCTACCTGATCCCTGCCCGAACTCCATAAAATTGCAATGCATTTAAGATAACTCTGTTTGCAAATGTTTTATTTTAATTAGAGAGTAGGGTACTCAGAAATGAATATGCTAATGAATTCTGTTGCCACCAGCACAAATTGAAATCAAAGTATCCCTTTCAGCACAACATAAGGCTTTGTTTTGCCTCATCGTTGCTGTTGACAGGAACATTTTTGTGGGAAACAAGATTTTTCCTCACACTGGTCAGCCCCAGCAGCCATTTTTAGCCTGACACAGTCTGTGGTTGAGGCTGGAGGAGGCTGAAGCCACCGGTGCCTTGAGACCTCCTGAGCATTGCATGAGACAGTGAGACTAGCGGGCTCCTCCTCAAAAGTGTGAATGATGCATACATAAGCCAGTCTGATGCAAAATGACAGAAGCCAAATGGTAAGTAATGCAAGAAGAGGGTCCCTTTACACATACACTGATAATTAATGTTGTCAGTGATTGCTTTCTTCAGCACTGAAGTCTGAATTAAAAAGGGCAGTGGCCCTAGGCTGCCATTAGCACACTCTCTTACAGTAAGTGTTACGGTAAATTGGTATTTTCCGGCCACAGGCTAGTAGCTGGTGTCTTTTTTTGAACGTGGTTAATCTGTAATGGTCTCAAATAATGTACACACACTAACGAAGCTTGAATGTTCATCTGTTAACAAGCCCCCTTGTTCCCACAGTGGTATTTGAGTCTAATGGACTCCGAGGTACTGAAGTTCACACCACCTCCGCAGATGCCCCAAAACAAGTATGTTTTACAATTAATTGGATGTTTGGTTTTTAATGTGGTAGCTGGGAAAAAGTTTCACAGTGATACTTGTCACTGAAGTACTGACTGTTTTATAACATGTATAAATAATAATGATATCACTTAATTTTTAACTCTTAAATTTTTTAAGCATTTTAGCAGAATCTGTTATATAGAGAGTCAGTTAATTGTAAAGCAGGTAGTTAGTGTTTAAATAAACATGTTACTGGCTTACTGGGGACTGGGTGGGATAGGTAACTCTGTAATGTGCAGTGACATGTAATGGTGAGACAGAAATTTGCTTTTACAACTAACACATTTTCTGCTACCACAAGGCAATTGATGTTTAGTCCGTATTTTTCAGATTATTTGTACCCTGATATTCAGTACCTGGCCTTTGAAAGGCTCTCATCCACCAATTTCTGTGGACTCTGTGTGTTGGTGTGCTTTCCTGTTTCTACTATACAGTTTCCTGTCTTAACAAACACTTCTCAGTGCTCTGAATTATACATGACAAAGCTGTTACAGAGAAAATCATTAAACTGAATTTTTTTCATGTATCTTACATCGTTGGAGACTAGTGTCATAACCTGAACCTTTCCACTCCATCTTGTAGCTTGGCAGGTGGGTTTCAGGGCACACCTTCATGGGCGGTTTTCTTTCATTGTGAAACTGCCTCCAGCATCACTCACTTTTCCTTTCATCCGCGTTTTTAGCTTTACTTTTCATTCCAGCAGCCCCCATTCTCCTGTCTCTTACTAAACTATTGCAGATGTTTTTGGCCAAGCTTAGAGAAGGCATCTCCTTGCATTCTCCTTTACGAAGTTTAGGAAGTGGTTTCTACTTGCTCAATAAGCATCCTCACTGGGCACCACCACATCACCTAGTTCATTATGCTACACCCTTCGTGGAGGCTTTTAGGACCTTCTCAGTCGCACTTACATCTTTCTGGCCTAAAGGCCCGTGTGGGGAACACAGCCTCTGCCGCAGGAGCATCTTGTTAATATCAAGCCATAGGAGTGGCCAGCAATTCTCATAAAGTTTTCAAGATGGCATAGCACTTCATTGTTGTGGGCAATGTTTGTTTTGCTTTGCGTTACCGGGACAGTAACGGCAAAGTTATTCTGTAGTGCCCTCCTTATGATGCTGGATAAGCATAAAATTGTGCAAGGAAGCATCTGTCAATAACAGAGGCAGAGTGAATGGCAGAGAGACAAACATGGTAAATGTGACAGTGAAACACTGCAGCTCTGCCAGCTAGCTCAGCTAATCTTTCGTTTTCACCAGTTTAGAAATGTAGATTTAGTAAACCTAAGCATCTTTTAAAATGCTCTTTCATCTTTTCATGCTTGTGGTTTTCTCTCATATGTAGTTGAGACTGGATTCTGAAGGCATCTAAGTTTCTTTCTTCTAGAAGACAATAAAAGGTCAAAGGTGGAAATACATTTCCAAAAAATTCTGAAATAACCATATCTATCCAAAAGGAAATGTGGCAGCTCAGACCACATCTGGACTCTTTTTGTAATTCGGGTTATATTACTGCACAATAAATTTACTCATAATCTTGTCTTTGTAAACTACTGTCATGCCAGAATTTATTGGCTAACTTCTTCCATGGCAAATGTAGCTTGCTCTTGCAGTCTCAGTCCTTGTCAATCTGTCTTCAGAACATTTGATTAAATTACAGCATCTCTCAGTATAGCAGAATTCTGAGTAGGGGTTAGCTTCACGAGTCACTTCATCTCTTGCCAGTCACTATTACTCCCACAGAAGATGCAGTATGATCATTTCTCCAGGAGATAGTTCCCTTTCTTTTGTCTTGTTTGCTCCTCAGTATCAGCCTTTGTCTCAGTTTGTCAGCATCTGTGTCGGGTAGGATTATTCAGTTGTCTGCTGTTTTGCTTGTTCTCATTGCAAGCAGGCATTGTGCTCCCCCAGAAGACTCCACCTGCACAGTCCCTGGGCATTACAGAGGGAATACTCTCATTTCTACCTGCAGCTGTAGGGGCCTTTAGAAGCACAGAAATGAGCTCGCACTGAAAACGGTGCCTGCAGCATTCCGTTAACATTACCATTTCCCACTTAAAACGTTGTCACTCCGTGTCTTCATTTCATTTCTTAATTGGGGACAGATCTATTCATGAGAGTTTATAGTGTAAAGTCAGTTCAAGTTACAGAAGTGCCGTGCACATGCTCCGAGCAAGAAATAATAGTTGCCATGTACAGTAGCTTTAGAAGGAAAGTTGTTTTTTTTTTTTTATTTAATGTCAAGTGGAAATGATTCACTTTACATAATGTTTCCTCCTCACAGGTAAAGTATCTTCCCCTGAGTAGTCTGCTAAAGAGTAAAAATATTAACATTAGTATTTCATGGTTCCCCATTCCCTTCTGTAGTCAACCAGAAGATCATCTCCAAAGGTTTCCTTTATGAAAGAATGTTAGGTAGGGCTTTTAAAATCCCCCAGCATGGTAGCTTGCAACAGAGCTTCATTATATGACAGTTTTATCACAGAATAATTCTCATTCTGCATGTTAAAAATAGGGTCTACTGCCAGGCTTTTTCAAAAATGATCCAGATAAATCTATATTTAGGTGTATAAATAAGAGCCCTGCATTAGGGTAGTGAATCACCGACAGGACATGCAGGTGTTCGGCGTCACTGAAAAGGAGGTCACCTGTCGGAGTGTGTAAAAAAGATCGGACACACATGGTTTTAATACTATTAGCACTGGGCTGTGTTTCGTGCTTTGTTGTCAGCACCAATGAAATATAAATAAAATGTAGGAAACAAGGTGTTCATTCATAATGTTATTTACTGTGGTTTCTTATTTCTACCTGAATGCTTTAAAAAAAAGGACATTTTTACATAAAGTGAATTTCCCATGAATTGTGGAATATTTCATAGTCTTCTTTATCTAAAGGACAAAAAATGCTCATTACATACCCCAAGTCAATACAATCTGTGCAAAGTCATGTAGGTTCTGTTGAAATGCTGCCATGTTAAACATACTGAATATTCTGAATATTTTTATAAATGCTAAATATCCCAATATATACATAATTAGGCTTGCTTATCCACAATGAATATGTATCTTAATTTGGAATACACTAAGCAACCTCTAAAGATATGATTTAGTAGGCATGAATTGGGGGAGCACACTCCAATTGCATGTACATGGCAAGACAAAAGCTGGCTACCCTTCGGAAGGGGCCTTGCAAGAGCGCGTGTCTCAAAGCAGCTGCGTGTGTCTTAAAGCAAAGCTCTCCTAAACCGCGGGGTCATTTCAGAGACACTGCCTGATGCTGCAGCGTTGCAGCCAGAAGCCCAATTCCCAGTGGCACAGGAGTCAGTCTTGAGCTTGCTTTTGCAAAGTGGTGACAGCAGTGGTAGCAATTTCAGTTGTATGCTGTGTATTTATCTTCTGCTTTTGCATTTTTAAAGCCGTATAAAAGCTTGGCCCACTGTAGTGATATGGTCTATCCTCTATCAGTGTCAGTCAATATGCTCTAAAAATTTTAAGGAACAAGTAATTGGGTGTTCAGAAGGCATGATTTGCTAGTTATCAGTGAGGAAGAGTTCTGTTTAATTGAGAATATGTATCTATATCTATATGTGAAGCATATTTGCAGAACTGAAACCAGAGACACCAAGTTCTTCGCTTTCTTTGCAAGCGAAACAAGCAAAACCCCCAAAACCCCAACCTTTGTCCTCTACAGAAAAACACCCTTTTATTCACAGAAAATCTCTTAGAAGCTACAGCCCAGAAAAAAAAAAAAAAAAAAAAAAAAAAAAGAACTGCTGGTATCATGAATACTTCTGGCTGAAGCTTTCCCCTTGCCAGAAGGCGCTGATGATCCTTTTCTGTGAAGCAGCAGTGGGCACCACAGTTCTTGGGCCTCATTCACTGAAAAGAGCAATGTGCAGTAGGTCCTGTGTGACAGGGGTAAAGCACCTTCATAAGGGGTCCATAAGCCTTAATTTTCTCCACTAGAAGTATTTTAAAATATTTCTTGCAGTGTTCAATACTTGAAATAGCATGAATGTGAACAGTTGGAATTTGGGGGATAGACAGATTGGAAAGAACCATCAAGAAAACACAGGGCATATGTGTGTATGTGTATTGTAAAGGAGCTAGGGGGAAAAGCTGGGGACATCTGTTACCTGTAATGTTTTTTAATCCAGAAATAGCACAGCTGTACTTGTCCTAAAGCAACTTTGGAGAGAAGGGGAGGAGGCAAAAAAACCCAACCCAAATGAAAAAGTTGTTTAAACTATTGGTTTCTGAATTTGACTGGTTTTGGTTTTCTTGCATTCAAAATTTTGGTGCTGTCTGTTAAAAGACCTATTTATGACATTTGTTCTTATGAAATGTCTTGCCCTGGTTCCTTGCAGAGTTTCTTCCAAAGATCATGATTAATAGTTCAGTCCTCATTATTGCAAATGTTATTTTTAAATAGTTATTCTGAGAACAAGAATTCCATTAATCAAAATAATAGATAATGAACAAATAAATGGCAACCTAATTTGTCTCGTTCATACATATGGAGATTATAATGCAAACAATCAAGGAACCATGGAGGCTGCTGTACTGGCAGCTGAGTAATATGCATGTACTGTATGTCTGTTACTTTGGGAGCATTAGAGACAGGATTAGCAGCTGTAGTTCTTGTCTCAACACTTTCCTATTGCTGGCAAATAGGAGTGGTATCTGTGCTCCAGACTGATCATTGCAGTTTATTTCAGTGCCATGCAATGATCGGCCCTCCAGTATATTAACATGTACACAAACTATTATTTTCCTGTTAACTGGTAAAAAGCCCTAGAAGTTGGTATGAAAGCAGCTTTGGCATGGAAGCTCTAGGTTTCACATAAAGATCTTCTGGTTTTCACTGAAAGTGAAGAAAGACTACTTTTAAAAAGGAAAAACATTTCACTTCAGGATGATTTCTGTCCAACTATGTATCAACCAGTTCGAAGTCTGACTGTATCCTTGGGCCTGTGGGAGTACAAGGGGTTGAGCCACCGGGTGGGTTTTTGCACACATGAATCTCAGGTGCTGTTTCTCAGAGAAACAAGCAGCACAAATACGCTTCAGCCACCCACCCACCACCTCCAGCCCCTCTGCACTCTCCTTGCAGGTGTGGGGAGGATAGATTATCCTTTTCACAGATCCCCTGTACTATGTGGTCCATGGCACGCTTTCACCACCTCGCAGGCTATCCATCCCAAGAGAGCACCCCTAAATTACAGCCCTTCTTTTCAGTTCTTACCCAGGGAAACTGGGACAAGGTGCCTGCCATCCCCTCGCCTCTCTCCATCCCTCCTCCCCTATCCTGGTGAAGCCCTGCTGTGCTCCCCCGTGTGTGTAGAGGCGGTTCGATACGAGACGTTTTAATGATGAATGCCTCCTCCTGGAATTGTGGCTGTGTCTCTCAGGCATGATGCAGCCGCGCAAAAATGTAAAGCATCTTTCTTAGTTTACTGCAGGAAATTCAGCATCCAACTAAGGAAGTTTTATCACATCTCTCATTCAGTTACTGTTTCCTACATTTCAAATATACTGCAGTCTGTACAGCAGCTTTTTTTTTCTTTAATTTTGTTGCAAATCTTTCCGACTTAAACCAAACTTTGACTGGTAAATGTCATGAATCTCAGGCCAGGTTTAATTAGGAATTTTCTAAATCTATTAACAAAAGAGATGCACTTAATACATTATGTCAACCAGAGCTGGGCTTTCTTTAGCTATTTCGAGGGCTGCCATAGGCACAGCTTGAAACTTGCTTGGATTTTACATGGGTGCCGTATTTTATGTTGCATTAATTTAAAATGGTCTGTTTCACTTCATCAAGACTTTAGCTTAAGGATAATGCATTTATGTAAGATTAATCTTGCCATGTTGTTTTAGGATCAGGATTGTAAACTGCATTGTTCCGACAGTGATGTTCTAAATGTCATTTTAAAGCTTTTCTTGAGAGCTGCAGGCTCCCACTTATTCATGATGTTATCTTTAATTTCACTTGATTTTAGAATATCCCTGCTATTTTTTCCAACATGGTAATTATTCATGAAAATTGGCTAAGAAAATAAAAAGAAGATGACAAGGAGGGTGTGTGGAAAGCCGCCTTAGCATTTGACAGACCTGCCCAAGAATTTAATTTTTCTTCATTCAGCTGCCTCTGTGACCTCAAACTTCAGCCTTTTTAAAGCACTGATCTAGTTATGAATCCTTTTTGGCTAGCACAAAATTCCACTTTTTGGAGGCCTTTTCTCTCCCTCCTTGTTCTCAGAAGCCTATTCTGAACTGCTCCATCAGACGCTATGACTTGCTGTTGTAGTTGAAGGGGGGACTTTATGTGGGCCTAACACACTTTGCTCTTGGTGGAGATGCTTTAAAAAAAAACCCTAAAAAACCCAAAAAACTTCTCATGTGGTGGGTCAAGATGAGTGCACATGATGCTAATAAAGGGTAACAAACACCAGCAGGACTTGCTGGAGGGTGTCATGCCTGGGAGCAGAGGCGAGAATGAGCTTTTTCCCCGTCTTCTTCTTCTTGCAGGGGAGAGACCACGTCAGTGCGGAGGTCACCCACACGCTGCATCTCCGGAAGGGAACCTAGAGCCTTGGCAGGAGAGCCCCGAGGCCAGCAGCCCCCAGCCCCGAGGGGCAGCGCCGGCAGCCCCCCACGCCGAGCAGAGCAGAGCAGCCCCCCTGCAGCCACCGCCTCGCCCAGAGCTGCTGCACGAGACTGAAACCAGCGCTCTGCCAGGAGGGGGGATGCCTCTGCGCTGTTAATCATTTTAAAATAAATGAAGATGCTACACAAGATATATATAAATTGACGTACTAATCAGTCCCATGGTTCCTTATTTCCTTTATAATAAACAGTGGAGTTGGCAAGCACTGTGGCAGCACGAGGCATCTATATTAATCAACAGAAGTTTGAGACACTGGAAAAATTAAACTTTATGTGATTTGGACAGCATGAAGAAGTTAAGCACTGTAACAAAAACCTCCCTGATGCTCACAATGACTATTTGATGCATTTGAAAAACAGCAGTGGATTTGAGGGCTGGAGAAGTATTAATTAATGAAACTGCCACTGCCTGTCATGCTGAAAAGCAAATTAGAAAAAAAAAAAAAAACAACAACAACAGAGAGAGGAAGAATGGGGGTTGCGGGGGGGGGAAAGGTGGCATTCGGTGCTGAGAAAGCAATGCTTGATGAAGGATTAAAGGGACTAAAGAGAAAGACCGTCATTCTGCAATGGTTTGTTTCATTACAGTTTGGGGACCACTTGCATTTCTAGTGCTCTTGCTCTTGACTGCGCACCATTAATAGTATGTGAATATGGAAATTGAAACACTTCCAGAGAAAAGCTTCTATTCTGCTTTGGAACAGAAAAGCTGGTCGAACACTAAGAAAAAAAACAGGCTTCTGTGTTTTACTCTCAGGACCTTTTTTTTTTTGTAACAGGGCTACTTTCTCCAACTTGATCACAAAGGAAGTCTTCACTTAGAGAAAAAAAAGGAAATAATAAAACATTCAGCTGTCTAATGCCGCTGATGTCTCTGTTTAGAAGAGAAGAGGTGTCACTGAACGAATTCAGGCAGCCCTGGGGCTGTAAGGTGCTCTCTGCTCTTTCGTTTGGTTCAGCAGGCCAGCTACTTCTCCTCCTTGGGCCCAGTGATGTTCTGGAAAGACGAGGAAACTTCTTTTGTGGTGGCAGGTTAATGTTCATATAAATGTGTCATGTCTTGTACTTGGTGATCACTGGTGGTGTTAGAAAAAAAAAAGAAAAAAAAAAGCTTTATATACCTCTTCTACAGTAACTCTTTAACTGCAAGTTTTCAAGGTGGGGTTGTGGCACATAACAGGTTGTTAAACCATGCAGTGTAAGCAATTAAAAATGTATTCCACCGATTTAAATATTTTCTTTTCTTATTGCTGTGACACTATGTGTGATGGTAATATTTCTGAGAGTTTCAGATTTTGCACATATAATTTTATGCATTATCAAAAGTTACTGCTGCCTTGAAAGAAAATGTTCTGTGAAAATTTTTGCAAAAGCTTTACTAGTTTGTTTTTTTTTAAATTGTAACATTTTGTAAAGGCAGGAAATGGAGTTAAAAAAAACCCTAGCATGCTAAATATATTTTTCAAAAAAGCAATAATTTTACATGTACAGAAATTATGCTAACCTTTAATACAGGTGAGACCACAGTTTACTTAATACAGTAATGAAATAGTGCTGTTTTTTTAGAAACGGGCTTCTGACAAAGATTTGTTAAAAAAAAAAAAAAGGCAGAAAAAACCTTAGAGCGTGATCTTTCTACTCTAACAGTTTTGGTGGGCGGGAGGTTCCTTTTTTAAAAAAATCTAGTGAGTAATTTGGTCTGGATACTACTTGTTACTTGTTTTAAATTACTTGACAGGTTTTGTTACTTTGCAACACTTGCAACAATGCAAATTAACTTCCTTATGTATTTTTTTTAAATTAGATTTTCTTATGCTGTTACACAAGATGTATACCAGAATCCTCTGTATGTCTCGGTGTAGTTAGGAATGTCTGTGCAAGTGCTTAAAAGTGACTGTAATTAACTGTTCTGTGAAGTTATTTTGAGGGAGGTTGCATAGACACATTCCGTTGTACACCAAAAAAAAAAAAAAAGAAAAGAAAAGGAGAAAAATGAAAAAGTGGAAATATTTTGCTGTGTTGCTTAATGATTATCATTTTGGGTTTGCACTAGCTTTCTCGGTTTGTCAGTTTGTTTTGTTTTTGTTTTTTTGGGTGGGTTTGGTTTTTTTTTGTTTGGTTGGGGGTTTTTTGTTTTGTTTGTTTGTTTAGTTTTGTTGCTTTTCTGAGTCATATTTTCCATGAAAGAAAGTAATGGTGACAGTTCAGGAATGCACAAAAGCTAGTTGCCTAATCTATTTGTTTGTGGTTTAGTTATTAAAAACTCTTCTACACCCAAAATGGCACAAAAATGTAGTGTATATTTGTAATTTCTCTCTCTTTTTTTTTTGAATTGTATTTTTTTTTGGCAAGCTAAACTGGAAAATCTGAGTTAATATTTGGAGCCAAAACCCTCTTTCTGGAACTTTTCTTCCAGAATCCATGACAGAGAAGCTAGTGCTGTCACTGCCATTACCAGGGTACTAATCAGCAAAGTTTACAATCATAATTTAGCTTCATGAAGAACAACAGTAGGGAAAATCAGTTTAAATAATTATATGCTGTGTATAGCACAGAAATGAGATTTTCACTTAATTAAACAAGAAACAAGCGTGGGTGGGGGAAAGCTAACCTTAAAGACCATCTGTTTTCGCAAGAGAATCCCACGATTTTTGTTTTTTTCTATATCATTGTATTGATTTGTTATTTTAGTTAGGCCATAGTATTTAAAATGAGTTGTGTTCCTTATTTATTTAGTCAATGGGCTTTCATCAGCTCTTTTAAGCAATGTGATAAGTTTTGTTGGCATGACACACTCCTGTAAAGCCCTTTTATGACTGTTACAGGGACTTTCTACTACCTCTACCAATTTACTGTTTCTTCTTCTTAACAGGTTTTTATGGTGTTGCAAGTCTAATGTAACTTAGACAATAAAGGGTTTGATTATCTACACTGCAGATTCTCAGTGTATCTGCCATCTTTCTCTCTCTCTCTCTCTCCCTCCCTCTCTCTGTCTGTTTTTGGGGGGTTTTTCGTGTGTGCGGATTTTTAGAGCTAAAGTGTAGAAGATCTCTTTTATTATAGCTGAAGTGAAAGACAGACCACTTTCACCAGAGTATTTTTGTGTCCTGTATATTGTACACTGACCAAAAGTTGAACTTGGAGAAACTTTTTCCACAGACCTAATCAGCTACTACATTGTGCTGCTTGCATTCTTGGAATTCCTTCTGTCACAAGTGCTATGTATAAATCGGTGCATTCTACAAAACGTAAAGCCAATTGGAAAGCCCAGATGGTTTTTAGGTTTGCATTTTAAAACCACTTAGAGTCCTTAGTGGAAAACCTTAGCATAAATTTCTGCCTCCGTCGTATCAAAAACTCGGCTTTAATGAAAGCAAGTAGTTTTTAATCCTTTGGAAAATAGTTTCTTCTTGTTGGTGCAAAAAGTATTCTGCTGCTAACTGTGAGATAAAAATCTGTTGCTGGAAGGATTTCCAGGTGTTGGCATCATACACGTTTCATAGTAATCCCTGTGATCATGTTGCTGCCTTCTGTATTTTGGGGTGCTGTGTGTTGTGGGGAGCACATGTTCATCTGTCCTACTCGATGCATCAGAACGTGCATGATGTTTTGAGCCACTTTACAACATTGTGTTATTTGAGTGGTAGTGCATCACCCTGCTGTTCACTCATTCTCATGCCCAAAGGGTTTGTGACCTGGCCTGTGTTTGGTTTTGTTCTTCCTTGCTGTATTCCCGTGCTGGGTTATCTCAAGTGTATCTCAGCAGCTCCACCAGGAGTGCTGGAATTCATTGACACAGGTGGGGATTTCTCCTTCAAACCGATCTGTCACAAAGATGTGAAACAAAGCAAGGTGTAACATCTTTATTAGGTTCTTACTGTATAAAATGTTTTGGGTTAAGAGTGGGAAAGGTTGCATTTTATGACAAGTCAAATTTCGCACTGTCCCTGCAAGCCAGTTGTTTTAAACTAGCATTTCTGTGCAAAGCACTGAACTGCAGAGTCTTCTTCACTCATGTTCTCTCCTTTCTCTTTTGCTGTGTTAGACAACCCCACGCTTCAGGGCAGTCCAGTGTTTAGAGGCAAAGCTCATATGGATTCACTGAGAGCTTGTAGGTAAGGAACGCCTGCTTGGTCCCAGTATTTAGAGGGTAACACAAGTGAAATGGAGTACATTAATATATATAAAAACTTCTACTTTAGTTTTTTAATTATAAATTATGAAATGTTTGCTTCTGGAGCAGCAAGTGGTGTAAAGCAGTTGAAGATAATTGCAAGCATAGACATGCTCCCCTATTAACTGCTTTCTGTGGAGCTCTGTGGGTGATGGCATTTTTGAGAAGGACTGTTGACATCATTAGCTAGCTAAAGGTAGACAGTAGTATTACAAAGGTATTTTTGCTTGTATATTTTCCTTCAGGTTCATTAGTATTGCTTTTGGGAGAAAGAAACCCCAAACCAACTCTAAACCACAGGAAAAAATTGCCTTTCATTCAAGACTGGTAGTCAAAGAGCAGATAGTACATGGGAGGAAAAAAAGTCCATATGTGTTGGATATAAGCAAGTATTTCAAAGTTACTAGCCAAAGTGAGGGATGCTTTGGTAGTTAGAAAAGGATGTGTTGTCAGTAGGAGGCCAACACAGACTAGGGGTTTGTTTTGTTGTAGCCTGGGTAATGGTATCGAGAGCATTAATGTGACCCATTTCTTTGGGTCTGAATACTGAGGTGAGTGGTGCTCATAGGACCATAAGTAAGAGAGATGAAGAAAAGTACATGAAAGGTCAGTAAGGGGCTAAGTTTTGGCCCTCTGAAGTTGAAGTAGATCAAAAGCAGTGTCTGAGAAAGGCCAAAGTTGAGGACAGGACCGAGAAGAAACCAGGAGCAGAGCAAGAGGTTCAGAGGAGAACCACCAGAGGAGAAAAAGTTGCCAAAAAGGATAAAGTCAACAGTCTGAGAGATTAAAAGGATCTGGGAATGGAGCAGAAACTGCAAAACCTAGCCAGAAGAGGTGTATGC